CCATGGAGAACACCATGTCGTTTTTTAAGTCATAGGTGACTAGGGGCATCCCCCGAGTCTGACCAGCAGCTGGGGTGGGGTTGAAGCTACTGGATGGAAGCCTTGTAGCTGTGGCTGCTGGGGCAGCTCCCTGTGGCCACAGCTGAGCAGCAAGTGTCACTTTTATTGAGTGGCTTCATAATACCCTTCAGGTTCATTTAGAAAAATGAAATTTGGAAAGCACTCTTTTTTTTTTTTTTTTTTTTGAGACGGAGTTTCACTCTTGTTACCCAGGCTGGAGTGCAATGGTGCGATCTCAGCTCACCGCAACCTCCGCCTCCTGGGTTCAGGCAATTCTCCTGCCTCAGCCTCCTGAGTAGCTGGGATTACAGGCACGCGCTACCATGCCCAGCTAATTTTTTGTATTTGTAGTACAGACGAGGTTTCACCATGTTGACCAGGACGGTCTCGATCTCTTGACCTCGTGATCCACCCGCCTCGGCCTCCCAAAGTGCTGGGATTACAGGCGTGAGCCACCGTGCCCGGCCCGGAAAGCACTCATTTTTTAAAAATTAATACCTTAAAATTAAGATCTTGGGCCAGGCACGGTGGCTCACACCTGTAATCCCAACACTTTGGGAGACCAAAGTAGGTGAATCACCTGAGGTCGGGAGTTCGAGACCAGCCTGACCAATATGGAGAAACCCCATCTCTATGAAAAATACAAAATTAGCCTGGCATGGTGGTGCGTGCCTGTAATCCCAGCTACTCTGGAGGCTGAGGCAGGAGAATTGCTTGAACCCAGGAGGTGGAGGTTGTGGTGAGCTGAGATCTTACCACTGCGCTCCAGCCTGGACAACAAGAGCAAAACTCTGTCTACAAAAAAAATAAAAATTAAGTTATTAATATTATTATTAGAAGTGGAGAGAGTCGCTCCTGTAGTTCCAGCAGATCGGTTGAATAGTAACATTGAAACAATTTTTTAGTCATTGTTGGATTCAGCCCCATTTTACATGTGGCAAGACTGAGACCCACAGGGGTTAAGTGACTGACCCAAGGACACGTGTTTAGAGCCAGTCTGGCAAAACTGAAGCCACAAGTCCTGGTTTTATTTCACCTCTTTTAAGATCTTGCAACTGGTTACCAAAAATGATTTGCAATTTTATGTGCAAGGTAAATGTCCCCCTGGAACAGGATGACTGGAACCCTCAGGTTCCCTAGCCTACTCGGCTCTGTCCCCCCAGCCTGCCATGGCCCACCCAACTTCTCCAGGAAACCCCTGCAGGACTCTATTGGGGCAGGCAGCAGGAAGGACCCCAGGCCCTGAGCTACTTGGGGGTCTGGGAGGCAGCACAGGAACAAAGCTGCTGAGAAAGAGGGGTCTTGGCCTGTCCAGAATCTGGCCGATGGCCGGGCGTGGTGGCTCATGCCTGTAATCCAGCACTTTGAGAGACTGAGGTGGACAGATCACCTGGGATCAGGAGTCCAAGACCAGCCTGGCCAACATGACAAAAGCCTGTCTCTACTAAAAACACAAAAATGATCTGGGCATGGTGGTGTACGCCTGGTTGCAGCTACTCGGGAGGCTGAGGTAGGAGAATTGCTTGAAAGCAGGAGGCAGGGGTTGCAGTGAGCTGAGATCACACCACCGCACTCCAGCTTGAGTGGCAGAGCAAGACTCCATCTCAAAAAAAAAAAGAGCAAAAACAAAAAAACGGAATATGGCAAATTTCAACATCTCGGAAAGCTTTGCCAAATGCAGTTTCCCTGACACGCGACTGCAGATGGAAGGGCGACTGGGGGACTCTCCACGAGTCCAGCGGAGGAAGTTCACAGCAGGCCAGGCAGCCAGGCTGAGGGCTAGACACGGGGTGAGGCCGAGTGGAGAGGCCACATCAAATACAGGCCACTTTCATCCCACCACTGCCACCTCCCCAGCCAACCTCTTTTTTAGACGGAGTGTTGCTCTGTTGCCCAGGCTGGAGTGCAAGTGGCATAATCTCCGCTCACTGCAACCTCTACCTCCTGGGTAAGCGATTCTCGTGCCTTAGCCTCTGGAGGAGCGGGGATTGATTACAGGCACGCGCCACCACACCTGGCTGATTTTTGTATTTTTTTTAGTAGACACAGGGTTTCACCACATTGGCCTGGCTGGTCTCAAGCTCCTGACCTCAAGTGATCCACCCTCCTTGGCCTCCCAAAGTGCTGGGATTACAGACGTGAGCCACCGTGCCCAGCCCACAACCAGACCTTCATGCTCCTGCAGCCCCCTCCTCCACTCTCCACATTCCACTCCCCCCGCCTTTTTTTTTGAGAGGAGTTTCGCTCTTGTTACCCAGACTGGAATACAATGGTGTGATCTCGGCTTACTGCGACCTCCGCCTCCCAGGTTCAAGCAATTATCCTGCCTCAGCCTCCCAAGTAGCTGGGATTACAGGCACGCACCACCATGCCCAGCTAATTTTTTGTATTTTTAGTAGAGAGAGGGTTTCTCCATGTTGGTCAGGCTGGACTCAAACTCCTGACCTCGGGTGATCCACTCGCCTCAGCCTCCCAAAGTGCTGGAATTATAGGCGTGAGCCTCCCCGTCCTGCCACACTTCATTCTTATGTCTATGTGATCCCCACGTCCTGGCAGCCCCAAAGAACCTTGGCTCCCAGGGCTGTCATCCGAGGCCCCACAAGGTCTGGCCAAACCCCACCCTCATAAATTCCCGCCACCCCCACCCCCACCCAGTTCCAGACCTCCCAGGGGGTCTCCTTTCAGTTCCTTTCCAACCTCAGGTACCAGCAGGGATTGAGACCTCTACCACACTGTCCATGGGATGAGGAGGGTGTTTTACTTCTCTGGGCCTCAGTTTGCTCATCTGTGAAATAGGGGTAATTTGGGTGGTTGTGGGGTTTAAACAGAATAATGCACCTAAAACCCTTAGCACTGTACGGAACATTCTGTGGCATTTGCTGCTGAGCCAGACTCTCCTGCTGTCAGGGAATATGACCCCAGGGAGGTGGGAGTCCAAAATTGAAAGCTCCCACAAGGCCTTCCCATGAGGCCTAGCACCCTTGGTCTGTTCATGAGTAGTGGTGTGAACCAGTGACTGCAATGAGACAAAAGTGATCCTGAGGGTCCTAGTGGGGCTTCCTCCTAATTCAGGGACATTTTATAAGCAGCCTCTTGTACACCAGCGGGTTCTCAGGGACAATCCATACCCCAGTAGTCAGTTCTACACCATAGCAGAATTTTTCACTATAAGCTCCATGAGTGTGGGGATTTTTGTCTGGTTAATACCAGACAAATAGCCACAAATATTAGTTGAATAACAGACTAGTATCAGCTTTAAATAAAGAAAACAGGTTAGAGGGGGCCTGGGTTCCTCTCTTACATGAGTGGCCAGGGAAGGCTTCTCAGAGGAGGAGACATTTGAGCAGCAATCTGAGTGATGCGAGCAGGTGCCTGCTGGGAGAGCAGCCCTGAGCAGAGCTCTCCAGGTGGATTCCCTCATGCAGATCCACACAGACGCCCCAAAGTAGGTGTGGTATTATTCCCTGGTTACAGATGGGGAAATTGAGGCAAGGATTACTTGCAGCAGTCATTGCAAAGGCAGGTTTTGGCCCAGGTTCCCCCTGTGTCTTTAGAACCAAGGTCATAGCTACAGCTCTGTGACGGCCACAGAGAAAGGGCCAAGTTCTCTCCATCAGCCTACCCTCTCTCACCATCTGAAGTGAAGCCTTCAGAGACAGGCCTGTCAGACAAGGCAGAATGGTGGCCTCTCTTCAGGGTCCCAGGCCACATGGAGACCTTGGATTTGCTTTCGATTTGGTGAATGGGAAGATGGTGGCTGGGTGGGTGGATGGGCAGGGCTCCCCGCTGGGCCCGTCCTTTTGAGAAGGATGCCTGTTGTTCGGAAACGTTGCTCCAGCCAACAGAGGTCACAGCCCCAATTCAGCTGTCTGTCCCCTCCCTGCTGGCTCTGCTCTGGGGACTGGCACAGCCGGGGCCCAGCCCTTCCCTGGACAATCAAAGAAAACAGCTCACGCAGGAGGACTGGCCTGGGGAGGGGTCTCAGGCAAGCAGCCCAGGACTGTGCCATGTTCAGGACACAGCAGCTGTTTCTCTCCTGGGCTGTGACTTTGTGGGGTGGTGGCCGGACTGTGTGGCACTCCAGACAATTGCGGTTGCTGGTGCCTCCTTACTGTGGACACTGTTTCCCTGTGATGAGCACAATTTACCAAACAGAACAAAGCCCCACAGCAGCACCTGCACCCTAACTTCTGTCAGACTGTGAAGTATTCCCGCACGTGAAGTCATTTGATCTTTAGCATTCTTAGAAATAGGTAGGATTGACCCCTGGCTCATTTTACATCCTGGGGAACCCAGGCTTAATGAGGGAGAATGACTTCCCCAAAGCAGCCATTTGCTCACTTATTCACTCATGCAGCGAAAAAGTGTTTACTGAGCGTCCGCAAGGTTCGTCTCTGTTCCAGCCTTCCAGCTAGTTTGTGACAGAGCTGGAGTTCACGCCCACGGCTTTCCCACCACAGAACCGGAGCTCCTGGCCACATGTCATGGGGTCTCCCCACTTCTTTTTTTCTTTTTCTTTTTTTTTTTTTTGAGACAGAGTCTTGCCCTGTCACCCGGGCTGGAGTACAATGGCATGATCTTGGCTCACTGCAACCTCCACCTCGCAGGTTCAAACGATTCTCCTGCCTTGGTCTCATGAGTAGCTGGGACTACAGGTATGCACCACCACACCCAGCTAATTTTTTGTATTTTTAGTAGAGACAGGGTTTCACCATGTCAGCCAGGTTGGTCTCGATCTCCTGACCTTGTGATCTACCCGCCTCGGCCTCCCAGATTGCTGGGATTACAGGCATGAGCCAGCGTGCCCCGCCCCCAGGCGCAGTGGCTCATGCCTGTAATCCCAGCAATCTGTCTAGGGATCAGGCCCTCTTTAGGTGTCCCTGGGCCAAGAGGAGCCCGGTTGTGACACCCACATTACTCTCTCCCTCTCCCACCCACAGGAGAGCGAAGACGCGGTCAAAGCGCTGGCCAAGGAGAAGGACCTGCTGGAGCGCGAGAAGTGGGAGCTGCGACGCCAAGCCAAGGAGGCCACAGACCACGCCGCGGCCCTGCGCTCCCAGCTGGACCTCAAGGACAACCGGATGAAGGAGCTGGAGGCTGAGCTGGCCATGGTGAGAACCCTCTCCACCCAGGTGGGCCTGGCATCTGCCAGCAGTGCTGCGGTGGGAGCCAGGACATCTGGCATGATGGGCTCACCCCGGAGTCCTAGGGTGGGGTGGGTGGGGCAGAGCCAGACACAAGCAGAGTGGCAGGGCCCGCAGCGGGAGGGGCTTTCTGCAATGCTCCGTAAGCTTCCCTCCAAGACCATGCCCCACAAGCCTGGGCCAGCCTTTTATCTGCTTGCTTTGGGCCCAGGGAATCTGGGGACCCTGGGAAACCATTCACTCTCCCACACACCCCAGCCTACGGTTAGGAGAAAAAAGGGCCAAGTGCAGGGGCTCATGCCTGTAATCCCAGCAGTTTAGGAGGCTGTGGCAGGCAGATTGTTTGAGCCCAGGAGTTTGAGACCAGCCTGGAAAACATGGCAAAACCCCATCTCTACCAAAAAATACATAAAATAATAGCCAAGCATGGTACATGCCTGTGGTCCCAACCAGTCCGGTTGCTGAAGCAGGATTGCCTGAGCCCAGGAGGCGGACAGGGAGCCGTGGTCACGCCACCACACCCAGCCAGGGCAACAGTGACACCCTGTCTCAAAAAAAAACAAGGAAAAAACGTTTTTTGTGTTTAAAAGATACATATTTGCTTAGGAAAATATTTGGGAGGAAATACACGGAAATGTTAACATTCATTCTCTCATAGCGGTAGGATTTCAAGTGACTTTTATTTATTTCTGTTCATTTATTGGCCTCTTTTCACATGTCTCTGCAGCAAAAATGTCTTATTTGGTTCATTAAGGAAATAAATAATTTTTTCCTAACCCAAAGCAGACCCTCAAAATACTTCCAAGTACTTTATTTTCCCAGGAGGTGCATAGCCTTCGCAGTGGGGACAGAGAGTCTGGGTGGGGACACAGCCCTCCGATCTGTTCTGCCTACTCCTGTGTGACCTTGGGCCGCTTGCTCAACTGCGCTGGGCTTCAATGCCTTTTACTTGTTACTGGGTTGGGGGTGGGGCCTTAATCCCACCCTACCATCCCCACAGGGTAGCTGTGAAGATCCAGGGACGTCGTAGCTAGTGGGAACTCTGGAAGCCACCAGGGGCTCAGTGTGACAGTGGCCAGGAGGAGAATGTCAGAGGAGCTCCTGGGGAGTAGGGGCAGGGGGAGGATGTAGCTCTTAATGATTTGTCGTCCTGCAGAGCGCTAACGTCAGCTAACGGTGTGGTTGCAGCCGTGTGATATGGGTTCAAATCCAGCCCTAAGTGCTTCCTAACTGTGTATGACTTTGTACAGGAGCCTTCACCTTTCTGGACCCCATATCCATCAACTCAAAACAGAAATAATGGCATATATAGTTGACCCTTAAACAACGCAGGGTTTAGGGGTGCCGATCCCCTGTGCAGCTAAATCCATGTATAACTTTTGACTCCCCGGGCACGTAACTGCTAGTAGCCTGCTGTTGACCAGAAGCCTTGCTGAGAACACGGTCAGGGAGCACATCTGTGTTAACTGCGTCATACACTGTATTTGTATTAGTCCATTCTTACACTGCTGTAAAGAAATTGCTGAGACTGAGTAATTTATCAAGGAAAGAGGTAGGCCGGGCATGGTGACTCACGCCTGTAATCCCAACACTTTGGGAGGCCGAGGCAGGAGGATCACGAGGTCAAGAAATCGAGACCATCCTGGCCAACATGGCGAAACCCCGTCTTTACCAAAAAATACAAAAATTCGCCGGGTGTGGTGGTGTGCCCCTGTAATCCCAGCTACTCGGGAGGCTAAGGCAGGAGAATCTCTTGAACCCAAGAGGCAGAGGTTGCAGTGAGCCGAGATTGCACCACTGCACTCCAGCCTGGCGACAGGGCAAGACGTCGTCTCAAAAACAAACAGGAAAGAGGTTTAATTGACTAGCAGTTCTGAATGGCTGGGGAGGCCTCAGAAACTCATAATCATGGCAAAGGAGAAGTAAGGCAGTTTCTTTACAAGATAGCGGAAGGGAGAATGAATACAGGAGGAACTACCACATGCTTATAAACCATCAGATCTCGTTAGAATTGTCACTGTCGTGAGAACAGCATGGGAGAACCATTCCCGTTGTCCACTTACCTGCACCTGGTCCCTCCCTTGACACATTGGGATTACAATTCAAGATGAGGCTTGGCTGGGGATACAGAGCCAACTATATCAGTATTCTTAGAATAAAGTAAGCTAGAGCAAAGAAAGTGTTATTAAGAAAATCCGGCCGGACGCAGTGGCTCACACCTGTAATCGCAGCACTTTGTGAGGCAAAGGAGGGCAGATCACTTGAGGTCAGGAGTTCAAGACCAGCCTGGCTATCATAGTGAAACCCCATCTCTAATAAAAATACAAAAATCAGCCTGGCGTGGTAGAGGGTGGCTGTAATCCCAGCTACTCAGGAGGCTGAGGCAGAAGAATCGCTTGAACCCGGGAGGCAGAGGTTGCAGTGAGCCAAGATTGCACCATTGCACTCTAGCCTGGGCGACAGAGTGACACTCCTTCTCAGCGGGAGAAAAAAAAGGAAAGAAAAGATTAGCCGGATTTTGTGGCAGACACCTGTAGTCCCAGCTAATCAGGAGGCTGAGATGGGAGGATCAACTGAGCCTGGGAAGTCAAGGCTACAGGGAGCCATAATTGTGCCACTGCACTCCAACCTGGGCAACAGAACAAGACTGCATCTCAAAAAAAAAAAAAAAAGAAAGAAAGAAAGAAAAAAGAGAGAATCATAAGGAAGAGAAAATATGTTTGCTGTTCATTAAGTAGAAAAAGAGGATCATCAAGGTCTTCATCCTCATCATCTTCATGCTGAGTGGCTGAGGAGGAGGGAGGAGGATTGGCCTTGCTGTCTTGTGACAGAGGTGGAAGAAAATCCACCAATAATCAGACCTATGCACCCATGCAGTTCAAACCCACGTGGTTCAAGAGTTGAATGTGCTTTGTAGGGCTCTTGTGAGGTTTCCAAGAAATAAAGCAGAAGCAGCACTTGGCAGGGGGCCCGGATGCCTGGACATTGTAAACCAGCACCAGGCCCCCCAGAGCAGGCCAGGACACAATCCCGGAGCCTCGCCTAGGTCTCCTTCGCCAATGCTGACCCCTAGTGGTGAGAATTGCTGGGCAGGAAAAAGCCATAGGGACCCCTGGGGTCCCCAGGGGTTCCCACCAGTGGGGTGTGTCATACTGGAGGCCCTGCGGCCACCTGTAGCCCAGACAGAAACCTTTGAACTTGCAGGCCAAGAAAAGGCCCCTGTTCTCCCAGGTCTTCCTCATGCCTCATGGACAGACAAGCTGTGTCTTCCTCACCTTGGAGTCCTGACCTTAGGCATCCGAGGACTCCCTGGGTCTTTCTGGCCTGGGATCCAGCTCACCCTGGCTTCTGCTCCCACGGTATCTGGACACTCAGCCTGTTTCAGCTCTGGCCGACAAAACTCAGATTCTGGCCTCCTTCTGGCAGGCATCAGATGCACCTGCCGGCGTGAATGTTGGCAGCTCAGGCTGATTTATGTTCATGTTAACAGCACAGACAGTGTCTACCCAGGACTTGGAGGCAGAGGGAAGGGGCTTCATGAGGAGCTGTGACGGGCCCAGTCTTGGGGTGTCCAACTGACCGCAGGTTCCCTCCATTGCCACCATCCCTAGAATTTCACAGCCAGGTCGTGTTGTCTGCAGGCCCAGCTCCCCCCATATGGCTGACCCTTCCCCGGGGGTTGCCTTAAGTTCTGGGTTGCAAGCAACAGAAAGCAGCTCTGCTCTGCTGGTGGAAGCACAGAGGGTGGATTGGAAGGAGGTCAGGGTCCATGGGTGCACTGGGGAGGTGGAGGGCGCAGCTTAGCAATGGCAGACGCCATGGCAGCTGCAGGCTGGGTGCAGTGGCCTTTCCCTATAATCCCAACAGTTTGGGAGGCCAAAGTGGGCAGATCACTTGATCAGGAGTTTGATACTGGCCTGGCCAACATGGTGAAACCCTGACTCTACTAAAAATACAAAAATTATCCAGACATGGTGGTGCATACCTGTAATCCCAGCTACTCAGGAGGCTGATGCAGGAGAATCACTTGAACCAGAAGGCAGAGGTTGCAGTGAGCTGAGATCGCACCACTTCACTCCAGCCTGGGTGACAGAGTGAGACCCCGTCTCAAAAAAAGAAGCAGCTACAGAGGTGGAGAGCTAGGCCCCTCGGAGAACGGTGTGCTCAGCAGCCCCTGCAGCTGGGGGGATGAACATGTCCCCTTTGTCTTCTGATTAAATCTTACCTCAGTGAGGTCCATGCAGCATGCCCAGTGGCCCATCTTGGGCAACTGACTTCCCCTTATCTAGGGGTCCTGGCTATGGCTGCTGGTACTGGGCAGTTTCCTAAGTGACCCCGGGGTGCTGCCACAGAAGTGGCAGAGGTCACACCTGCAGGTGACATTGAAGCCACTGGGAAAGCAGGTATTGGGAAAAGAGTCCGGGCTGGTGCCGAGTGAGGGGTGAGTGGCCCGTCGGGACCCAAGCATCATTTCTCCCCCCGTGTCCTGAGGAGCCAACTCCGGGCCATCCCATATACCCTCTTCACTGCTTCACTTGGGGAAAAGCCAAAAAGACATTTGCTTCAGCAGATGTTTCCCAAAGAAGCAAAGGCCTCAGTGGGCACCCTGAGGCCTGCTCAGCCATCTACCCTTGCTAGGGACATTTCCTGTTAAAAGTCCCGGCCGACCATCCTGGTCAACATGGTGAAACCCTGTCTCTACTAAAAATGCAAAAATTAGCTGGGCATGGTGGTGTGTGCCTGTAATCCCAGCTACTCAGGAGGCTGAGGCAAGAGAATTGCCTGAACCCAGGAAGCGGAGGTTGCGGTGAGGCGAGATCGCGCCATTTCACTCCAGCCTGGGTAACAAGAGTGAAACTCCGTCTCAAAAAAAAAAAAAAAAAATCCCGACCAAATCAGGCATTACCACCCACACAGCATCTTCTCCGTAATCACATTGGCCCCATTGGACCATGTGTGTGTGTGTA